GCCCTGGGTAGGGGGTGTTCCTCACAACGCCTGGCCAGTCCTCTTTGGTCTGCATTCTGGGCAGTTAGTCTGAGCATCTGCAACATTTTGGCAAACTTGTGTTAAGAGTAAGGGCTATAGACTACTACAAGATCAAACAGAGTGTGTAGCTAGGTTTTAGGTGCTTAGCTGAAATATTAGGTTATTATCTTAGCTGTGAATGCTAAGATAGGTTTGGGTCAGCATATAGTTTGCGAAACATTGTCTACAATACACTTTTCTCAAAAACATACAACTTGAAGTATTCTGCCTAAAGGACTATTTTATGTAGCCATTGTTTTTGTGAGTATCAGTGCAAACAATTTTTACAAGAATTTTTGCAAAGGGATTCCCTAGAGTCCCTAAAGTGACATTTCTAGCGAAAAAAAAATTAACGTGCACAATTTTAGCATGATTGGGAAATTTGCACATAAAAAAACTTTGTGCTCAAATGTGTTTTTGTGGACATATCAAAGTTTCTTCTGCATGTGGAAAACTATATTTGTGCGTGCATTAAAATTTTATTGTGCATGCAAAATTGCAAATATTTTCTGAAAAACTTATATGTGCACAATAAAACTTTACAAATTTTTTTGTGTTTTTAGCGTAAAGGTTTTCTCATGTATTTACAGTGTGTGTGTGTGTGTGTGTGTAAATGTATATACACAAACCAATAACTTATATGTGCACAATAAAACTTTTATATGTGCATGGGAAAATGTTTTTGTGTTTGTAGCGTAAAGGTTTTTTCATGCATACACAATTTTGTGTGTATGTGTGTGTGTGTGTAAATTTATATACATAAACCAATAATTGTGCTGTGTGAGCACAAACATTTTCCCACAAACATATGAAAAATTGCAAACAAGAACATTTTCATGTGCATATACACTACTATTCCTTTAAATTGTAATAATACTGAACAATATTGCTATTTTACTGTTATTTTTAATCAAATAAATCCAGCCTTGATGAGCTGAAGTGATTTCTTTCGAAATCCTCAAACAATCTTAATTATTCTGAACATTTGACCTTTTTAATGCACAAGCAGAAATGTTCTGGGGGGTTTTTTCTTTCGAAAAATTCTTCTTTAGGGGCTCTGTAATTCATTGACTAGTGGCAGAAAACGTATTCGGTTACTAACGTAACCTCGGTTCCCTGAGATACGGGAATGAGTACTGCGTCTTGCTAAAGATGCTATGGGGAAAAAAACTTTTTTCTCCTGAACTAAAGCCTTTTTTCAATCACGCAGTGGAACTGCATGGCCATTGGTTCGTGCAGTGCATTGAAAAACTAACCAATGGCTCAGCAGCGGTGCTGCACAAGCCTATGGCGACAGAGCCCACCAGAATGGGCGGAGCCATCTGGCTATATAAGCGGGCGTTCGCCACAGGATTCTCAGGTTACTTTGACTGAAGCAATGACTGAGTCGTGCTGCTACATAGCACGGCTAGCAATGCAGTACTCGTTTCCGTATCTCAGGGAACCGAGGTTACGTTAGTAAACGAGTACGTTTCCTGTCGATACTTCACTCCTACTGCGTCTTGTTAAAGACGCTATGGGAACACAGTACAATCACGCTGTGCTATGGTAGAGGAACGACTTCATATTATAACCTACATAAGCAAGAAGATAAACAATGTACTCCAAGACTAAAATGGGTTGAACTCCTCGAGGTCACGCCCGGCCTGGGTAATCGTTTCAGAGTACTCGTACAACTTCGGCACCCCAGGGGCCGAGAGCCGACAAGTAAACTAACCCAAGAGCTTGAGCGTGTTACGGTAGCAAGTAGCAAGCATGTCATTGGCAGCTCCTCTGCGTCCGAGGCTGCCAATGACATGTTGTCATCAGGCAGCTCGTCCTCACTCCCCCCAAACGAGACCAGATCGCTTGTGCTGGCAGAGGGATGCTGGTCAGGCTGGGAAAAGAAGACGGGTGAATCCTCTCTCTGTGGCGAGGGCGAGGCACGCGGGATCTGGGCCGATGTGAGCTCGTCCGCATTCGAACGCTCAAGTCCTCTGCCCCACTGTTTTTTCCACACAGGTCCCTGGAAGGAAGAAAACGGATGGGCACGAGGGGCGGAGCCACTCTCTGAAAAGAAAGCGATCCGTGAGCGAAAAGAGGCGAGACTGAAGTTCTCACAATGAGAACAATCAGTTCCCGTGACAGAGGCTACCGCATGGGGTTTCCCCAAGCAGGAAACGCACTCCGCATGGCCGTTATTGCCGAACCGCAGTAACGGCGTGGCATTTGCAACAACGCCAATTTGCTCTTTTAGAAGCTCTTTTAGAAGCGCCGGATGGCGGCAGGGGAACAGGACCGATGCTGAAGCGAAGAAGCAGGTCAGCCGAGCAGGGAGGTCTCAGTCCAGCTGTGAGGCGTCAACGGCGAGAAGGCTTTCGGGATCAGCGTTGAGCGTAGAGTCTTCACTGAAGGAGAAGAAATCTGAGAATCCTGTGGCGACCACCCGCTTATATAGCCAGATGTCTTTGCCCATTCTGACGGGCTCTGGCGGGCTTTGTCGCCATAGGCTTGTGCAGCACCACTGCCGAGCCATTGGTTCGTTTTTTAATGCACTGCACAAACCAATGGCCATGCAGTTTCACTACGTGATTGAAAAAAGGCTTCAGTTCAGGAGAAAAAAATACTTTTTCCCATAGCGTCTTTAGCAAGTAGCAAGCACAGTATGAGTGAAGTATCGACAGGGAACCTAATGTATGATACCTTGTTGATGTCCGTCTTTTGAAAGTTGAAGTCTGTGTGTTGTTTTCAGGAGGCAGGTGGAGTGGGAGGCAGCTAGCAGTCTGATTGAAGGGATTTGTTTGACACTTCATCGACAGCCAATCATTTCCTTCCTCCCTCACCTGCGATCTCTAATCAACGTCTGTGTCAACCTGGTGAGTCCCAAACACCCACCACCGGTGATATCCTTTGTGTGATGTGTATGTGTTTACATAAAGATGTATGTGTTTAGGTGATGGGGGTTGTGGGGCCATCTAGTGTGGCAGATGGACTTCCCTTGTTGCATTTGAGTCCGTACCTGTCTCCTCCTCTTCCCTTCAGTACAGCGGTTGTGCGTTTGGTTGCCATGCAGATCCAGGTATAATCTGTTCCTTTCTATAGATAATTCTACTGTGCATATCAGTTAATTGACTTATTTATGCCTATAATCATATGCACATGTTTAATGTCTTCCTCCAAATTTAGGCTTTAAAGGATGATTTTCCTCTCAGTCATGTGATCTCCCCTTTCACCAATCAAGAGAGACGAGAGGGGATGCTGCTTAACCTTTTGATTCCATTTGTATTGACTGTGGGCTCAGGGAATAAAGGTCTGCCTTAGAGAACAAACAGAACCAGGAATTTAAATATGCTTAAATTCATAATGCAATTGGATGTCATTTACAATATGTTTATTTCTGTTTTCCCTTCACAGACAGCCCTAACCTGGAGCAGCCGGAGGTATTTCTACTTTTGCAGACAGTCATTAACATCCTGTTACCTCCACGTATTATCAGCACTTCCCGCAGTAAGAACTTTGTTCTGGACGCATCCCCTGCCCACTGCTCTACCCCAGGGGACACTGGGAAAGACCTGCGTAGAGAGGGACTGGCTGAATCCACCAGCCAAGCAGCTTATCTTGGTACTAGAGCCCTAGAGAGGGTTGGATGGTGATATAAGAAAAAATATTTAAAAGATGTCTGTACATTTTATAAAAAATTTTAAAATCTGCTCTCTCTAGCTCTGAAGGTGGTCTTAATCTGCTTTGAGCGACAGTTGGGTAATCAATGGTACAAGCTGAGTCTACAGGTCAAGGAAATGGCCCTGCGTAAAGTTGGCGGTCTGGCTTTCTGGGATTTCATTGACTTCATAGTGCGCACAAGAATTCCAATCTTCATTCTATTGCGCCCCTTCATACAGTGCAAGGTGGGCAGATTTTGAGGATATGTGCTACCTTTTTGAATTCTCTATTAGCGATCGACCGATATGGGTTTTTAATAGCCAATATCGGTATCTTGAAGGGTGGCTGATAAGTGAAATGTATGGTATTACACATTTATTTTAAGTTAGTAAATAACACGTTCAACACTGCTGCACTAAAATGACTACTTATTATATAATTTTAAAGTCACCATGAAACAGAAAGTGACAACTGGTAAATTGTCACAATGGAATATTGTAGTGTATATTATTCATTAGCAAACAACATCGATCCAATGATCCAATCAGTTGAGTCTCTTGACCACTATCAGTTCACACCGTTTGCATCTAATGCACACCACATTAATCAGTCATAATGATACTGACAATTAAAACAATTCAGAGTATCGGCCAATTTATCAGCCTTGGTGATGTATCAGTTGCTCATTTAATTCATACTCATGAAAAAGTCTTCATGTCTCTACTTTCAGCTGTTAACCCAACCAGCTGAGTCTCAGGAGGAGATCACGGCCCGTCACCATATTGCAGAGCAACTAGAGCGTCGTTTCATCCCGCGGTCCCTCTGCAAGAGCTCTCTGTTTGCTGAGTTCAGCAATGAGCTCAAGATCCTGAAAGAGGCTGTGCACAGCGGCTCTGGTGAGAACGGGCTTTATCGGGATATTACCTAGAAAACAAATGTTTATCTCTCAAAAATCTCTCAGTAAAATTGGTCACACTTTGTTAACCCCAGGTCATCCTTAACTATGGGTTAATACAGTGGTTCTCAACCACGTTCCTGGAGCCCCCTACAGTGAACATTTTGCATGTCTCCTTAATCACACATGATCAGCTCATTAGTAGAGACTCCAAGACCTGAAATACGATATGATACAATATACTTTTTTGTCCCCTTAGGGGAATTTTTTCTTGTGCTTATTACATGCTGCACAAACAAATCACACATAAATAACTAAATCCCATACAGTATATCTCACATAAACCATACCATACAGGGGAGCAGGACATGTAGACAGGTATATCAGATGTCACATTGCACAACTGAAAAACCACTATTGCACAAGTAGTTGCTTCATAAACCATAGAATCAAAAATAATTAACAATAACTAGCAGCAAATAAGAATAAATTGTACAAAACATTATGTAATGTTAGATAATCAGTGCTGACCAGAAACAAATCATGTCATCAATGCCATTCAAAATTCTAATGGAGGCAGGCACAAAAGAGCTTTTGAACCGGTTGAGTCGTCATTTGGGCACTCTGTACCTTCTTCCTGAAGGCAGACGCACATATTCAGGATGTAAGATGTGAGAAGGATCAGACAGTATCTTGTGAGCCCCTCTGTACACAGACTGCTCAAATAATGTTTGGAGCGATGGATGATCTTTCAGCACCACAGTTTTCATGGCAGTCTGGACAATGTAAGAAAGTCTGTTTTTTAATTGTACAGAGAGGTTACCATACCAAGCTTGGATCCCGTACCTGATTAGACTCTCCAGAATAGCCTGATAAAACACAGTCATGATTTTTTCGTTGACACCATACAGTCTGAGTCTTCTCAAGAAGTGCAGTCTTTCAATTGTCAACATGAATCTGCCATATAAGCATGTTGTCAATATGGATGCCAAGGTACTTATAGGAACACACCTGTTTGATTTGAGTGTCATGAATAACAACAGGACTATGAACACCGACTGCTCTGTGGTCAAACACCATATCTTCCATTTTGTTATCATTTAAAATCCATTTATTGGCATCACACCACTGTTCAAAGTTATTCTTCAGTGATAGATAGCTGGATCACTCTCTTTGTACAGTAGGCTCAGGGTGGCTGTATCATCTGAAAATTTAAAGATGTACACAGTCATTAGTGTAGTGTGTAAAAAGTACAGGCGAGCTCATGCAACCCTGAGGAGCACCTGTGTGCGATATTTTTGGGTCTGAGAGGGTGTTATTGATCTAAGAAAGAGTGATACCATTTGATCAGGAAAGGGTTAATGTTCAACTGGCTCGTTTTCTGGGGTCAGTTCCTTTGTAAAAGTCTTTAGCAGAAAGGCTGTAATAAAATACAATACACAATACAATAAAATTAATTTAGTTCATTCTCTTTATGAAGTTCTTCCATGGGAATGAAAAGTCTCCTGCTAGTTCACTGAATAGCTTTCACTGAATCCCACAGTCTTTTATAGATTGATGTGGCTAAGCTCTCCTCAATAATGACTTTTTGTTGCCTTCGGGCCACCCGAAGCAGCTGGTTGAGCTCTTTTTCAGTTGCAACCGATCACAGTTCCAGAAAGCAGCTTTTTTCCTGTCAATGCACTTCTTCTTCACTTACTTTGTTATATATGGCTTGTTGTTAGGTTACACAATAATGTCTTTTTTTTGCAACCACATTATCTACACATTATCTACAAAGGATATACAGTGGGTACGGAAAGTATTCAGACCCCCTTAAATTTTTCACTCTTTGTTATATTGCAGCCATTTGCTAAAATCATTTAAGTTAAATTATTTTCCCCATTAATGTACACACAGCACCCCATATTGACAGAAAAACACAGAATTGTTGACATACGCACATATTCAGGATGTAAGATGTGAGAAGGATCAGACAGCATCTTGTGAGCCCCTCTGTACACAGAATGCTCAAATAATGTTTGGAGCGATGGATGATCTTTCAGCACCACAGTTTTCATGGCAGTCTGGACAATGTAAGAAAGTCTGTTTTTTAATTGTACAGAGAGGTTACCATACCAAGCTTGGATCCCGTACCTGATTAGACTCTCCAGAATAGCCTGATAAAACACAGTCATGATTTTTTCATTGACACCATACAGTCTGAGTCTTCTCAAGAAGTGCAGTCTTTCAATTGTCAACATGAATCTGCCATATAAGCATGTTGTCAATATGGATGCCAAGGTACTTATAGGAACACACCTGTTTGATTTGAGTGTCATGAATAACAACAGGACTATGAACACCGACTGCTCTGTGGTCAAACACCATATCTTCCATTTTGTTATCATTTAAAATCCATTTATTGGCATCACACCACTGTTCAAAGTTATTCTTCAGTGATAGATAGCTGGATCACTCTCTTTGTACAGTAGGCTCAGGGTGGCTGTATCATCTGAAAATTTAAAGATGTATTTCCCCGTGTGTGAGCTTACACAGTCATTAGTGTAGTGTGTAAAAAGTACAGGCGAGCTCATGCAACCCTGAGGAGCACCTGTGTGCGATATTTTTGGGTCTGAGAGGGTGTTATTGATCTAAGAAAGAGTGATACCATTTGATCAGGAAAGGGTTAATGTTCAACTGGCTCGTTTTCTGGGGTCAGTTCCTTTGTAAAAGTCTTTAGCAGAAAGGCTGTAATAAAATACAATACACAATACAATAAAATTAATTTAGTTCATTCTCTTTATGAAGTTCTTCCATGGGAATGAAAAGTCTCCTGCTAGTTCACTGAATAGCTTTCACTGAATCCCGCAGTCTTTTATAGATTGATGTGGCTAAGCTCTCCTCAATAATGACTTTTTGTTGCCTTCGGGCCACCCGAAGCAGCTGGTTGAGCTCTTTTTCAGTTGCAACCGATCACAGTTCCAGAAAGCAGCTTTTTTCCTGTCAATGCACTTCTTCTTCACTTACATTGTTATATATGGCTTGTTGTTAGGTTACACAATAATGTCTTTTTTTTTGCAACCACATTATCTACACATTATCTACAAAGGATATATCTAGTTATTGACTCAGTAGCTTCATCTATGTTTGATGTGTCAGACAAAATGTGCAGTCTACATGTACGTGATTCTCTGTCAGGTATTCAGGTTTTGTGGTTTAAATTGGGGTTAAAACTGTGCTTTATCTCATTTACATTTACATTTAGTCATTTAGCAGACTAAATTTAGCAGACTTTATCTCTCCCTTTTTTTCAGCATACCAAGGAAAGACTTCCATCAGTACCGTTGGCACATCCACCTCTGCATACAGGTTGAGTCTGGCCACCATGTCCCGCTCAAACACCGGTACAGGAACTGTCTGGGAGCAAGAGAGCCAACCCTCACGCCAGCCCTCACAGGACACACTCAGTCGGTGTACCGATGAGGAAGAGGAGGAAAGTGTGTGATTCATCCTCTTTGGTTTCTTCTTAAAAATTAGTTCACTCAAAACATTTAAATTCTGTCATCATTTACTCACCCTCATGTCAATCCAAATAACATCACATGTCTTACATGTTTACTGCAACTTTCAGAGTGCACTGTAGGACCAGCTTACAGCGAACACTGAACCAAACTTTTAAATGTTGAGCAAGTGATCTCATTGGCTGCAGAATCAGCATGTGCCATGTAGTAAATCATATGATTGCTAGCAGATGTAAAGGACCTATCAGCCTGCATTATCTAGAGATTCAAGACTGAGCTAGATATTTGTGTTACTGTAAGTAGTGTTACTGGTTACCTGTTAATGTAGGGAATATTAACCAAAGGTGTACTATCAAAGCAGTCACCTTGCATGACCTTGCATAAAATTATTTTTAAAAATGACTTAATTGCTGCATGGTAAGTTTAATGTAAAATTGATGGGTTTTATTGCTGAGTAATTTTGTAGATGCATTTAATTGTTGAATGATCCATGTTAACTTTTACTCTGTTACTTTCAGATGACTCCATCAGTATCCCCAGCGTGGTAAGTGAGCACGAAGCTTTCCTCCCCAGACTTATTTCCCAGCGGCGTTTCTCCAGTCACATCACGGTGTCAGCTGCCACTCAGCCTGAACCAGGCATTAGCACCATGCTGCCCAGTCACAGGTAAACAAACACCCTTCTTCAAAACTAAAGCTCATTCAGACCGAAAACTGTCTATAACAACCTTATTTATCCAATCTTACCATATCTTTCCCTTTAAGAGAGGGCTGATCTACAGCTGGGGGGTTGCATGTCTCTCTTATTATTCCCCTAATCTTGTTCCCTGCCCAACTCTACAGTGAACCCAATGTGCTAGATGAATCCCAGGGGCTTCTGGAGGAGGGTAACCTGTCTAGGTACAGTGTGATGGCCCTGTGTGTGCAGTGTCTCACCGTCTGTGTGCCAGGGCTGGGCCTGCCTTCCCTGTTCATCACATCCAACTTGATTCCTCACTAGGATCTCTCTCTCTTTCTCTTCTCATCCACTCCAATTCACTGTTTCTTTCTGTCTTTCTTTCTCTCTTGGCTAGGGACAATGATGCCCGTCTACGTTTAATCACTATGTGGTACTCATGTCATCTCCAGTGAGCCTCATGGTGTCATGGTGTCCACTCATGTTTCAGGCTTTTTGCTGCTCTGCTCAAGAGTTCCTCTCTGGGGGCCCAATCTGTGGGGCTGGGGAGTATGGTCTAGCAGGCTTAAAGTAGACAATTAGACATTGAGTAATGTTTTTTTCGATCTGACATCAGATGAATCTGACAAATTCTGCAAATTTTACAAAATGGCTTAGTTCATATAGGATTTTCACATCCTCCTGCTCAGACTGCTATACCAGCTTCTCTATTCCCCTTTGTATTTTGTGGATGACATTGCAGGTTCTGACCTGTGATTCATGCTTTCTTGATTCGTCCCTGTCCCTGTGTTTCATTGGTGGAGGGCTATGGACTGATGGGGATTTGTGGATGGGACACATTTCCTCTTAACTCTCCAATTTATTAGGAGGATTTAACAGGGATTGTGTTCAGCTCTTCGGGCAGTTTGAGCTCATCAGCTCCATTTGTGTGTCTGTCCTTCAGGGTTGCTAGCGTGCAAAGTGAACCAGGACAGCAGAATCTGCTCATCCAGCCACCACTCGGTCGTAAGAGAGGACTTAGGCAGGTGAGCGCTCAGAACACAGTCTTATTTTTTTGCATTCAGTGTATTATCTCAAGGCATAAAAATTGAGGCACTGTGTCTTGTAGCTACGGCGACCCCTGCTGTCTATACAGAGGGTGCAGGACGAGTCTCGTGGACGTCAGGGAGCCAGACTCTCAACAACCCGCAGGAACATTCAGCCTAAGAGTAAACCACTCGACAGGGGTTTGTGTTGTTTGTGTAACTATATTAAAAAAAGAAATGAATATCAGTGACGCCTGTGTGCAGAAGATTTAACATTAAACATGAACCTTATAATATATATATATATGTGTGTGTGTGTGTGTGTGTGTGTGTGTGTGTCTTTATTGGTAAGTTATTGATCACAACAACAAAAATGTCATTGCAATCTATAATCAAAAAGGAATTTGAATGAATTCCTTTTTTATAGACAAATGTCAACAGTTTTAATGCCTAGTATAAAAAAAGAATACATATATTAATATAATATACACAAATAAATTACATTATAAATATAATATAAATAAAATATAAATAATATAAATAAAAAATAAAGTGGGGAAGTCGTGGCCTAATGGTTAGAGAGTCGGACTCATAACTGAAAGATTGCGGGTTCGAGTCTCGTACCGGCAGGGATTGTAGGGTGTGTGTGTGTGTGTCTTTATTGGTAAGTTATTGATCACAACAACAAAAATGTCATTGCAATCTATAATCAAAAAGGAATTTGAATGAATTCCTTTTTTATAGACAAATGTCAACAGTTTTAATGCCTAGTATAAAAAAAGAATACATATATTAATATAATATACACAAATAAATTACATTATTAATAATAATAATATAAATAAATAATAAAGTGGGGAAGTTGTGGCCTAATGGTTAGAGAGTCGGACTCATAACCCAAAGGTTGTGGGTTCGAGTCTCGTACCGGCAGGGATTGTAGGTGGGGGGAGTGAATGTACAGTGCTCTTTCCCACCTTCAATACTACGACTGAGGTGCCCTTGAGCAAGGCACCGAACCCCCAACTGCTCCCCGGGCGCTGCAGCAAGAAATGGCTGCCCACTGCTCCGGGTGTGTGTTCACGGTGTGTGTGTGTTCACTGCTGTGTGTGTGCACTTTGGATGGGATAAATGCAGAGCACTAATTCCAAGTATGGGTAACCATACTTGGCCACATGTCACGTCACTTTCACTTATTTATGATAGCAAAACCATTGTTATAGTACAAATCATCATTTTAATAATTATAGAGCAGACTGCATATATAAAAATTACACATCAGTACCCACTCTAAATATATCTATTAGTCATATACAATTTCTTATACAAATTATTATATTATTTTATGATTTTGTTGTGGGCATAATACAATAAATAATACCTAAAATACATACTATATCATTTTAATACATTTTCAACATGGCTTTTCTGTAAGAAATCTATGAAAAATTAAGTGTATTTTGCTTAATTTGGTAGGTCATTTAAAAAGTTTTTTTTTTTTTTTTTTTTAAAGCATTGATCAAATGAGTAATGTAGAGGCCTTAGAAAGCCATGTACCAAATTTGATGCAGTTTTATATGGATTTATAGGGTTAATTGCATCCGCTCAGATGGCCACTATGAGAACCAGGTAGAGGTTCTTATAGTTCAAACTGTAGTGTATAGTGCTAACAAAACCAATTTTGTGAATTTGATTCCCAGTAAACTGCATGAAGTAATAATGTATACTAATGAATTTCTAGAGTCTAATGAATTTCTCCAATCTATGAAATATTAAGTGTATTTTGCTTAATTTGGTAGGTCATTTAAAAAGGTTTTTTTTTTTTTTTGAAAAAGCATTGATCAAATGAGTAATGTAGAGGCCTTAGAAAGCCATGTACCAAATTTGATACGGTTTTATATGGATTTATAGGGTTAATTGCATCCGCTCAGATGGCCACTATGAGAACCAGGTAGAGGTTCTTATAGTTCAAACTGTAGTGTATAGTGCTAACAAAACCAATTTTGTGAATTTGATTAATAATTAGTAATAATGTATACTAATGAATTTCTAGAGTCTAATGAATTTCTCATCTTTTCTTCAGCTCATGGTGACCAAAAGAGGTCTGTCAATGATATGAAAAAAAATGGAGGTTCCGGTGAGATTTTATTTAGGGCGTTATACCACAAACAGCCACCGGGTGCCATCCAAACTCTATTAAATTTTTTTATGCATTTTTCTGTCACAAATGTCTAGATTTCTCTGTCAATATTACTTCTATCTCAAAATAATCCTGAGACTCAGACCTTTCCAATGATATGTTTTTTGTCAATTTTATAAAAAGTTTTGATTGTAAAAGAGCGTAATGCATTTTGTAATATGACACTTGACACCGCCCGTTAAGGGGGAGGAGACCGCCAAAAGATTTTAAAGTACCATTTCCATGGTAACGCAATGTCCGATTTCAAAATGGTTTTCACAGGATGAATCTTGGACTTCTAAGCTTTCAAATGATATATGATTTATGATGATTACTAAAAGGTTTTGATAGAGAAAAAGGACAACAAAAAAAGAGTGCCAAGCGTCCCACAGGTGGGACGGTGACAGTTAAGGGGTTAAAATGACAAAGTTTATACCCAGCTAACGAAAATATGTTGTAAGAACATTTTGTTAACATTCCCACTAATCAGTGAAACAGAAATCTTATGAATGTCCAGTTTTTTAAACGTTTTCGAAATGTTTTTCTTGGTTATGTAAACATTAAGGGAACATTTTGCGTACATCATGGGAATGTTACATTTGAATGTTCTCTGAACATTCTGAAACAAGTAGTTACATTTAAAAAAATGTTAGACAAACATCTAACTAAAACGTTTCAGAAAAATATTCCATGAACTATGTATAGATAATGTTTTTGTGTGCTAACGGTTTAAGATCATTGTTAAGACCAAATAACTTTACCAGACCAAATAAAGTTACCAGAAGAACATTTGCTTATAACTTAGAGTGAACCTTACCAGAACGTTACGGAAGTTCTGAGAATGTCCCTGTTAGCTGGGTAAGTGCTAGTTTGGATATGAAAGGTTCTATTATGTATGTTTGGGTGCATTGCATGAGTGTTGAGTGGAGACATCATGTCTTTAAAATTGAATGTAGCCATTTATACCTCTGAATTTGACGGCTTATATAACGCTTGCTTTGTTTTGCTCTCAGTATGAGAATAAAGACAGGAAAGATCAGGGGAGTGTAAGAAGCAGTCTTTCTCCAACCCCCTCTGCTGCCTCAAGCTCCACTTCTAGAGCCTGCTCCCCTCTTCCTCCTCCCCTCCCCGTCCTGAGTACACCATCCCGACTGGCCCCAACCCAGATCAGAGAAAGTCCCGAGGATGAAGAGACCACTGGGCTTCTGCAAAACACGGACACCTCCCCCGGTGCAGGAGAGGACCGTGGCACTGAGAACCCACTCCTGACCTCGCTGCTCACACCCCATGCTCTCTCTCCGCTCCCCTTGTCCCCTGTTGACCTGGATCTAGATGAGTCTCACGTTTGAGAATGTCCAGCTTCAGGATGTAACAGTTTAATACTGTGCTAGTTTAACAAGAAGTGGAAAAAGAAATCCTGTGATCATGTTTCTTCAATAACTTTAACTTGATTTTTTTTGTGAACTCTTGACCACAAGAGTAAAACCATTTTAAGCTATCATGGGACATCCTTTGCAATTAATAGACATTTATGAAGCACTGTGCATAATTCTACACACCAATGAAAGCTAATTATAAGTATAACCATTCAGTCTTTAGTGAGATAAATGATGACATTCTGTGAAAATCATATAACTACAAAATCTCAGTATTTAATTATATAGATGTATTCTAAAAATGTGTCATCTATTAAACTTTATTTTAAAGGGTTATATACAAAATAGATATTTAGAATAAATATTATAAATGCTTTATTTTCAGAAATATAAAGATGCTTGTATGATATTGATGCCAAGTATTTGCCAAATGTTTGTTTGCAAAGACAAATTCAAAGCACCTGCCAAATTTCAGTGGGAACAAAACTGGAAAACGTCATTGAATATATATATATAGATATATTTAAATATAAATATTCTAAGCATCTTCCCTGCTCTTGTCCTGATTATGTTGGTGTTGATTCTTCTGTTAACCCCAGTGTAATTCAACTAATGCTTAAACTGACTCTAAAATACACTATAACCTTTTTACCGAAACATCACAAATTCTTCTACATAACATTTGGTGTTAAAATAGTCAATAGAGTATTAATTGAATGTCTCATACCCTTGTATTCAGAATGTAAGAGCTCAACAGGCATTTGATATTTCTGTGTCTGCTGCTTTGTGGGTATATTGATTTTTGTCTAATGTGTTGCTATCTGTTGGATTTGTTCAATAATAAATTATTTAATCATGTCATGTTGATTTGGGCTTTTTGGTTTATTATAATTAGCATAATAATACCAAATGATTTGTATTTGTTGCATTTGTGAAAGACTAATCTACTGCTAACTACTAATCTTCTGATTCAAAAGAACTAGACGCATGATTGCAACGCAAAATAGTTTATTAGTAGAAAATAGGCAATTCTTGGAATGTAACTGTATCAGTAACAGTTTTACTTGTTGCGATAAATGTCTCGAGGAGCTTAAAAAGCCTTTCTTCTCTAGCAGCAGCTTCTCTTTCTGTCCTCCTCTCTTTCTCTGTAGTCCTTTTCCTGCCTTTCTTCTCTAGCCAGCATCTCTTTCTTCCACCGTTCCTGTCTCACAAACATTTCTCGTTCCCTCCTCTCCTCCCTCTCCAGCGCCTGTCTCTCTCTCCACAGACCTTCGATCTTTTTCGGCCTCCCTCTCCGCAGCCCATCTGTCTCGCTCTTCTTCTCTTGCTGTGGCCCGTCTATCTCTCCTTTCCATCTCCCGCAGGGCTGTCAACCAGTCCTCTTCCTTTCTCTGCTTGATGGGAAGCAGAAGAGGACACTTGGACTGCGTCCTGAGCAGAAGAGAACAGGCGTGATGAAATGGTTGAGGGGGATCTCGCTACTCAGTGCTCCATCCATGATTACATACCACTTCCAGGTTGCAATCGATGTGTCTCCCCCCACCATACTGAGGCTTTTGAGGTCCTGCAATAAATTATCAAAGACAAATTAATTATAGGTCAATGACAAGAGTTGAGGATTCAAAAAAATATTTTGAATATCTAGTTTAAAATGTGTACCAAGTTCTTAGAAAAATGTACTCTTTGTATTCATGTTGGTTTCATATGGTTCTGAAAAACTTTGATATTATTTTTCAAGACAATATTGATACCAAGTTTGTTTCCAAATATTTGTTTGCAAAGACAAAATAGCAGCTATGGAATGCCAAAGCTGACTTAATTAGAAATGAAAATGTACAAAGAAATGTAAAAAAAGCAAATATAAATAAATAAATATATATATATACAAAGAAAAGTAAAAAAGCAAAAATAACTAATTAATTATAATTTTATTTCCTTATTTGTGTATTTTTTTAATTTTTTTCCACATTTATTTATTTTTTATTTTATACATTTATTTATTTCCACTCTTATTTATTTTCACATTTATGTATTTATTTACATATTTATTTCTTTATTTCCACATTTATTTATTTCTACATTTCTTTATTTTCACATTTATGTATTTATTTACGTATTTATTTCTTTATTTTCACATTTACGTATTTATTTCTTTATTTCCACATTTCTTTATTTCTACATTTCTTTGTCCTTAGGGGAATGAGGAGGGCGTGTTTTACCTCAGCCAGAGTAGGCGAGGTGTAAGCTTTGAGGCCACAGGGACACCTTGTGGTGGTCAAACGAAGTACAAGAAGTGTAGCCTACATGACGTGCCTGTTGATAGTGTGGGATGAATGATTTAGATGGGCAACATGGCCAAAATCTTATATCAGGGGTTATTATTTCAATTTCACGTGGGGGGTTGTTAAGCGTGTAATCTGTGATCGCATGCATTTGCTGAAGCTCGCGAAAGCGTGCAATCGCTTTCTTTTGCGCGCTTTTTTTTAGGTTTCACTTTCAACACAACGCATATTTCAAAGATTCGGGATAGAAGGAGGCATCAGTTACTGTAGAAGATTTGTGGCCTCGCGCCACTTCCCATGTGGTCACCGCATGTAGACACGGCTTTAGATCAGTGGCGAGCCGTGATTTTTTTTAACCAGGTATGCTGGGTGAAAAGATTAACCAGTTGGATCTGGATCCAACCTCGCCCCCTGGGTGTTCTGCAGTGAGGACCATCTCGGATTTACAGAAAATGACCTTTGTTTTCAAGTAAATAATTTTACATACTTATTCCCAACACTTTATTAAGCTTTGAGTCACATCTCAAATGACAAGGGATCAACTTATAATCATGTATTTATTAATTAGCCCATGAACTCATTCTCTCAGACGGCCTGGGTATGCGGCGCATTCGCAACTAATGGTGCTTTTCCACTGCATGGTACGGCATGGTACGTTTCACTTTTGGGGGGTTTTCCTCTGGGTACAGTACCTGGTACCTGGTACTTTTTTTAGTACCACCTCGGTTGAGGTTCCAAGTGAACCGTACCGTTACCAAAACGTGACGTGTAAACTCTGCTGATCACGGATTGGCCGGAGAGAATCGTCATTACCTGTGTCACTGAACTTGCGACACAAAAAACTTAAGTTATGACTATAACTATGGATCTATGAGACCAAATGATGACCGTCACCACGGTCTTACCTTGAATGACACCATTCTGCTACCGTTCTGATACCTAATGTAAACAAAGTCAGGGCACTGACCCTGAGTGGTTGGTTCACTATAAAACATCCGGGTGAATAAAGCACTTCCTCTTGCCTGAAACGCCTCAGTTCATCCTGAGTGACAAGAGATGGTGACGGTCATCATTCGGTCTCATAGATCCATACCCAGTCAACACGTGAGATCATGCGATAATCACAGTGACATCACACGATCCTCATACTGTGATCCTCACGGTGTGAGTAGTATATGAAATCATTGTGACATCACACGATCCTCATACTGTGATCCTCACCATGTGAGTAGTATATGAAATCATTGTGACATCACACGATCCTGTAGAACTGCAGACCCAAATGACACTGGTTCTGCCACATTGACCCTGTAATACCGGGCAAAGGTATAAGGTGAACAACATGAGGCCGCTGCACATATATCTGTAAGTGCCACACCTTTCAGTGCTTCCCATGATGTGGCTAGACTCCTAGTAGAATGAGCCACCAGGTTCCCTGGAACTGGTAAGCTCTGGGTGGAGTATGCTTGTGCAATAGTGTCCACTATCCAGTGTGAGAGACGCTGCTTCGAGATTGGTCGCCCAATACTTTTTTTATCAGAACACAGAAACAACTGAGTATGTGACTGCCGCAACCGTTGTGTGCGCTCAATGTATGTGTGGAGTGGTCTTACTGGGCACAGACTAGAAAGGTCAAGACCTGTAGATAAGGAATCTGGGTCAGGTTTAAAGGCTGCAAGTTCAACTGCCTGATTGTGCAAGGATTGAGAATCTTGGGAAGAAAAGCCAGATTCGGCCAGAGAGAGACCCCTGAGTAATTCGTTAAAGGTCCACCCTGTTTGCTCATCGCAAACCACTTCTTGTGATGAGTTGTCTCGTCTGATGCAAACAGATCGGTATGAGCTCTCCCAAACAGGTCCCATATCAGACCTACCACCTCTGGATGCAGGCGTCATTCCCCTGGGAGGGGCCCTGTTCGAGAGAGGAGATCGGCAGCCTGGTTCACTATTACTGGTATGTAGATTGCCCTGATTGAGGCGAGTCTTGGATGGGCCCAAAACAGAAGTCTCCTGGACTCCTGGAGGCAACGCAATGACCTGGTGCCTCCCTGATGATTGATATGATAAACTGCTGACATGTCGGTTCTCACCAGGATATGCTTGTCTTGCAGAAAAGGAATCAGTCGTTTCAAGGCCATGTAAACTGCCCTTAACTCTAACACATTGATATGTTCCATATTCCAGGGAAACGCCCATAAGCCTCTCACTGTTCTGCCTTGCCAGACAGCCCCCCAACCAGTCAGAGACGCATCCGTTGTCACCACCATCCTCCTTGCTGGTATGTTCCCCAGAGGGACCCCTTGGCCCAATTTCTTTTTGCTCAATCAGGGGTGCAAGGCCTGAATGCATTTCTGTGTGACCTTCAGTCTCACTCGCCTGTGTAATTTGGGGTGGAGTTGAAACTTGTTGATCCAATACTGTAGTGGCCGTGCTTTGAGCAACCCAAGAGGCACTACTTTTATTGCCGCTGATATCATCCCCAATAATTTTTGAAACTGTGCCAATTCTATCCGCTTGCCTAACCGGAAAGATTTTGCCAGAGTAGATAATGCTGTTACCCTCTTTGGAGCGAGTGATGCAGTCATTGTAAAGGAATTCAGAACCAATCTGAGAAATATTGTCTGTTGACGTGGTTCGACCTTGCTCTTCTCGTGGTTCATGCAAAATCCAAGTTCCTTTATATGATTGATAACCCTCTCTGTGTCCTCCAAGACCTGATGACGGCTTGGTGCACAGATCAGCCAGTCGTCTAGGTATGGAAGGATCTTTATACCCACCATTTGAAGGGGGCAAAGGGCGGCTGACACCACTCTGGTGAAGACACAAGGTGAGAGAGAGAGACTAAAGGGGAGGACCTCGAACTGATATGCCTGGCTTTGGAAGGCAAAGCGAAGGAACTTTTTGTGGTCTGGATGAATAGGTACATGAAAATACGCGTCTTTGAGATCTATTGTT